ACTCCTCTCAGAGTCTCCCAAACACAGACACCTCACATCACGGCACGGATTAGGCTGGGTCTCAGTGAATCAAGGTCTCGGACAGGCAGCTTCCAAAGGCAGGGGCTGGGTGTGAATGGCTTCTGAGTCTCCGGCCCCCACCCTTACTCAGGACCTGGTCCCAGAGGTGCCCCCAAAGCCTGCCACGGCTCCCGCCTCAGGGCCTTTGTTTATTTCGAGACTTCTGCCGGAATACCCCTCCCGCACGGCCTGCCAGGCAAACACCCCTCATTTAAGCGAAGGTGTTTTGCATATATTATCTCATTGGATCTGCACAACAACCCTTTGTGATGGGCACTATTATTAGCCCCATGTTGCAGGAAGGAAATAGACTAAGAGGGATTAAGAAACTTGCTAAAGGTCACGCCATAACACACTACAATGTATCAAAGAGCAGGATTTGAACCCAGGCCAGACCCCTCTATAGTCCATGTTCTGAGCCACCTGCTCTCCTGCCCTCCAGGGTGGCACCGGAGGCATCAGCAGAGCCAGAGATTCACAGAAGGTTGACAACCTCTTGGAGAAGCAAAGCGCTGTCAGGGTTTCTAGCACCGAGACCCGGCTCCTGTCCCTGCTCTGCGCAGAGGAGACCCTCATAAGTAGACATGGAGTGAAGGAGCCAAATGGGAACCCAAAGAGCAGGGGGAGGGAGGACACTGGGGAGCAAAGAGAGCTCCGTGTTTTACGAGTTGGGCCAGGGATGTGCCAACGGCATCGAAGACGTGAGCCTGCAGCCTGGGAGGCTGCCACTGCCCATCTGGGAGTTGGTGATGGCCAAGCCACAGGAACAAATGGGCTCTCCGAGAGAGAGTAAGGTTTTCAACGTTTTGGTAAATTTTTAAAAAATGCCTTGTTGCCTGACTGGCGTGGCTCAGTGGCTGAGCGTCAACCTATGAACCAGGAGGTCACCAGGTTCAATTCCCAGTCAGGGCACATGCCCGGGTTGCGGGCTTGATCCCCAGTGTGGGGCGCGGAGGAGGCAGCCGATCAATGGTTCTCTCTCATCATGGATGTTTCTATCTCTCTCTCTCCCTCTCCCTTCCTCTCTGAAATCAATTTTAAAAATTAAAAATGCATATTTTTGTGTGTTTTCATTTCTTTCCAGGACACACTGGCAGGAGAATAACAGATGCCAGAGCCTCTGAAAGCTCCATGCTGCATACTCCGTGCCCCCCACCAGCAAGACGAGAGGAGACTGAGCAGAGCCCGGCGGTCATCTTCCAGCACCAGAGGCTGCCTCGCGGGACCATGGGCCCCGTTTCCCTGTTCCAGGGCCGGGCTGAGAGCTCCGGGGAAGCCCGTTTCCTCCGAGTGGGAGGACAGAGCTCCTAAAACCCCGTGCTACCCACCGAGGGACAGCCTCCCTTGGGAGACAGCGACTCCCTGTCGTGGGCGGGCCCGCAGAGGCAGAAGGGGTTCGTGATGCACTGGGGAGGGGCACCCCCGTCCCCTCTGAGACTTGCCAAGCCGAGGCTCTCCGACTTAAAGCTGGAGTTTGGTTGGGAGTTACCCAGTACTGTTTCAGAATTCTTCTCCCCCCAAAAAACACGAGTTGTCCAAACTAACAAAGAGGAATACTGTTCTAGACGGTGCCCCAGCATCAGGTGTGTGCAGCGCCAGGCCTGGGGCTGGAGGTGAGCACCTGGGGCGGAGCTGGGGGAGGTGGAGAGGTGGTCATCCGGTCCCTGCTCACGTGCAGCCACGTGACGAGCAGCTGGTGAGGCTGAGAGAGCGACGAGCAGATCCTTCGCACAGCCCCCGCCAGCACCCACGAGGCAGGGAGCACCCCCGCCCGCCCCGCTTCACACCTGAGGAGCAGCAGTGGGCCTTGGCCCACGGAAGGGGCTTTCTGGGGGCTCCGCCCTCTCTCCAGAAGCCACATACCACACCTCATTCAGAGAATTACAGAATCGGGGGGCTTAGGAACCCCGGTGAACCAATGAGGAAACTGAGGCACAAGACCACAGAGCTAAATAACGGTCTCAACTGCTTTTGAAACCAGGTGTCTTGAACCCAGGACCCTTTCGTTCAACACAAGCCCTGCAAACACCAGCTCTTTGCCAGACACCGTGAGTCCCGAGAAATGAAGAGATTAATGGCACCCTAGTCCCTGAGGTGGGGGAGAAAAGCACGGAACAAAACCTTACAGCAGTGGTTCTCCGCCTTCTGGCCCTTTAAATACAGTTCCTCATGGTGTGACCCAACCATAAAATTATTTTCGTTGCTGCTTCATAACTGTCATGTTGCTACTGTTATGAATCATCCTGTCAATATCTGATATGCGGGATGGTCTTAGGCGACCCCCGTGAAAGGGTCGTTCGACCGCCAAAGGGATCGTGACCCACAGGTTGAGAACCTCTTCCCTACAGGATGGCGGGTGAGGTGCATGCAGGGGTGTAGGTGTGGGAGCAAGCCCTCCCTGCCCCCACCACACCCCCCAGGACAACCTGGGCCCAAACCTCTCCCATTTCCCTCCAGAAATAACTTGACTGGAAGGTCAGAGGCCCAGAGGGAGCCCCAGACTGGAGGCTTCCCATGAGACCGCGGGTCACGTCGGAGGCGGGGCTGGGGGGCAGCGCTGGGTGCAGGCAGGCTCGGGCCAGAGTGGAGAGCAAGCCCAGCCACCTGCCGGCGCCGGCAGACGTGGCATGACCATCTGGTGGGCCCAGCTTGCACACGCGCAGGCCCAGCTGGAAGCGGTGGGGCAGAGAAGGGACTGAGGTTTCATTTCCTGAAAGCCCCCTCTGTACTGTCTGCTGTTACCAAGGCTCTTCAGGGATCAGCACAGTGGGCGACAGGGCTCCCACACTTCAGAGGGGGTCACCGCGGCCCAGAGAAGGTGTGACTGGCCCCCGGTCATTCAGACTGAAGCGTCTGAGCCAGGAGTCCCAACCACTGATTTCACTTTGCTTCTCCCAACTGTGAGCGCCAGGCCAAGGCGAGCACCTGAAATGGCATCTTCTACCGGCCAACATCAGGGCAAAGCAAAGAGTGGCCGTGAGCGGGGGTCGGGACCAAGGGTGCCCAGCTAGGGGCTGTCCTGTCACAACATGGCCCTGCCACCGGCCACAGTGGAGGTCCCAGCTGCCGCTGGGCAGATCGGGGCTGAGAGCTAAGCTGCAGGCCCTGAGCTGGGAACAAGGACCCCGAGAGAGTCGGGGGAGGGACACCGGCTCTTCTAAGCCCAAGGCCTGGAGCGGAGAGGAAGCAGTCAGGCTCGGGGACCATCGTGGGGCTTGTGGCTGGG